TCCCTGGTGTTCCTGCCAGTCCCTCTGCTTTCCTATTAAAAACTGACCACACTAAGCAGGGGAACACACCATGGTAAGTTATCAAACTGTGCTGGGAATTCAGCCTGCTCTCTTTCAATTATCAGACTTGTCCTTACACCCCCCTCCCAACCACCCAGCTTATCACTGGGAAGCTCAGTGTACTGCTGTTTCTCATCCTCTAGCTCTTATGCAGCTGAGAACAGAAGGTATGTGATCACTTATACAGTATAAAGGGGAAAAAAGGTTTATATATATTTTTTTATATATCTATACACAAATGTTTTGCCTTTCATTTCTATTTTAAACTGAATGGGGGTGTTTTATAACATGAGGGTTTACAAGCACTTCAATTTAGAAATTAAATTAAAAAAGAGCAAATTTAAGGGAGGATTAAAAAATTTAATATAGAGCCCTCCACACAAAATTCCACTTTATTATTAAGATTAGATGACAACATTAACAGCCAACAGAGACATTACACCCTAAATACTGTATGGGGACTTTCTACAAATATTGTGGTTTCTACAAGTATCTGTTTGTATGATGGCACATAATTATTGATATCTGCAATTTTAGGGTGTAGTCTCAGTGTTGGTTTGTAAAATTGTCATCTCATTTTAATATCATACTGAGATTTATTTGGAGAGGTGTCTATATTTAAACTGTTATCATGTGAACTAATAAAGTAAATTTTGCAATCCTCCCTTTTACCATTTATGCATCCTGGTTTTTTTTAATTTTTGATTTGGGGGGTATTGCTGAGTCTTTTCCACAATTTATACTTTACACTAGTGTTGGGCTGGATGTTTGAGTCAAACATAACTTCTACACAAACATCAGCCGTTCGTGTGTTCTCCAAACACATGAATGGTAAGGGCAATCGGCAGGCTATTTGCCTGCCAAAAACTCCACAATGCACTGTGCTCTCACAGTGCATTGTAAAAGCCATGATTGGCCAAAGCAATGCTCCTGGCCACAGGTCAGGTGCAGTACTTTGACCAATCACAGCACAATGCACTGTGAGAGCCATGACTGGCCAAAGTCCATGCCCCACACTATATAAGGCTGCTTACACTGCATGCTTATGCAGTGTAATGCTGGACACTGCCAAAGACAGTGGGAAGAATACTCTCCCTGAAAAAAAAAAAATTAAAAAACAAAATAAAAATAAAACAAAAAATAAAAAAAAAAGAAACAGCCCCCCCCCCCCCAATCCATACTAACCCCTTTAGGTCTGGTAGGTAGGTTAGAAGAAACCTCACAGTAACTTTTTTTAAAGTGTGTGGGGTTCCCCCTAAAAGCCCTACCAGGCCCTTTAGTCCTGGTAGGACTTTTAAGCAGAACCCCACCTCCCAAAAATGGAGGGGAAAAGTGCGTGGAGTTCCCCCTAAAAGCCATACCAGGTTTTTTAGGGCTGGTAGGACTTTTAAGGGAAACCCCACCCTCCAAAAATGGGGGGAAAGCGTGGGCACCCCCCTAAATTCCTATCAGATCCTTGATCCCAGCACAGGAAAGGGGGGGGGGCAGTTGCATGCCACCCTCCCTGTGGCTTACCAGGCCACATGTCCCCATGCCAAATAGACATAAAAAACATGCCCTCCAGCCCATCCGCACCTGCCGAGCACTCTCTTCAATATGGCAGTCTGACATTTGTTGGTCAGATGTGAACAGATAGGCGTGACTAGAGATGATGGCACTGTTACCTCAGCCCAATGGTCTGCAGACCCCCACAACCAACGGGCCAGGGTTTTGGGGAAGAGGCACTTGTCCCCATCAGTATAGGAACACCGCCCCAATTCTGAGGTCACGTTACCTGGTAAGCCGCAGGGAGGGGCTTACCATCAGGTTTTTACTTGGATCAAGGATCTGGAAGAATTTTAGGGGGGACCCCACACTTCCCCCCCATTTTTGTGGGGTGTGGTTGCCCTTAAAAGTCCTACCAGGCCTACCGCCTCACTTTTGGGAGGTGGGTTTCCCCTTAAACGTCCTACTAGGCCTAAACCCCACACACTTTCTTTTCAATTTATACTGTGGGGTCCCTCCTAACCTTCCTACCAGACCTAAAGGGTTTGGTAAAGATTGAGGGGGAGACCCATGCTGTTTATATACATATATATATATATATATATATATATATATCTTTATATGTCTTTTTTTTTTAAATGTCAGCCCTGCTGTAGCAGGTTCTATATATTGTACAGATGTGCAACTTTGCAGGTAGTTTAAGGGGACCCCCAGGCATGATATTTAAAGGAATGTCTCTCTTTTTTTTACTGTAAGCATTGAAGAATGGTACTTTCTTTTTTTTTCACTGATTCAAGTCCCTCAGGGCAGTACCCAAGTCCCAATTCCCCTTTATGGCCAATAACTTGCATATAAGCCTTCAAAATGGGCATTTGTGAATTTATAGGTTTGAGTCCCATAGACGTACATTGAGTTTGAAGTTCATGGTCGAAAGTTCATTAGGTTTGAACGTTCGACCATGAACTTTTTATATTAGTATTTCACTTAATTTAGTAATTCAATTCCTTAAAAATGTGTATTTAGACATTTTTGTGCTCCCTGGAACAAAGCTGAACAATTCAAAATAAGCATATGAGTAACAAATGCATAATAATTTATTCTTTTTAAATGAGTGAACCAATAAAATACAATGTTGTACTTTATTGGGCTAAAATATTGCCTTTGGGATATGCCAATCTATTCATGTGAAATATAAAAAAATGAGTTTACACTTACTTTATGAACTGATGTGGGTCAGGAGCATATTCCTTACCTGGCAAGGCATTGAATAATTAATTTTGGAGTTTAAGGCATACTTGAAACCTATCAAGCACTATCAAATTTATTTTGGACGATAGTCCCACATCAGTATGTTTCTTGAAGATGAAGGTGACACATAGTAATAGCAGGTTATTGAAAGATGGTTATGAAAAAACCAATTGGTCGCAGCACTTACCTTTACTATTCCAGGTACCATTGTCAATCTTTGAAACATGGACTGCTTTAGTCAATTTATAAGGATATGGCACATTACTCAATGAGATAAACAGTAAATACAACAGAGTGTGGTTATGTTGGAGGATTTTGTAAATAGAGGATATGATTGCAATTGGGTCTTACTTGTAACTGGGGCTTCTTGCTAAAGTTCAAAGGTACAGACAGCAAGTCACATATTCTTGCTATATATATACAACATCATCAGATAAAATTGACAAGTACTTGGTAGTATTCCACAATTGTGCCAGCTGCATAATATTTTTGGGAGCTGAATCGCAGAAAGAGAAAGTAAAAAAAACAAAACAACGTATGTGGAGATCTGCTGCTGTTGACATTACAGCACAAACTCTCCTGTATCTATAAGACTGATGTAATATCCAAAATGATTCATTAAGAATGTAACTTGAAAATGTTTTTAGAAATTTGGTTGGTCATGATGTGACCAATTTTGACCTTACTAGTTAGACTCTTTTTCTAACACCTGTTTCTGTGTGTATTTTGTATAACATACATTATACACTTTTGTATATCTTGATTGTGATTTATATTGTTTTTAAAATATGGGTGGAGCTTGCAAGTTACTTGCAGTACTATCCACTTTAAGGAGACCTTATTTACATCCATATTAGATTGCATGCATTGCACATGTTTCAGATTTTTTTTTCACTATGCAATGTTTTTTGTGACACACTGCAATATTGAGTTGCCACCCCTGTATTTGGTTGGCAGAAGTTAGAATTTCTGGGAGTGCCTCAGGGACAGAATTGTCATTCTAACATCAATTATATTGCCAGAAAGGACATTTCAAATGTTTGGCTGGGGGAATGGTCTTTAAAGCATATAAATGGAGCTGTTAGAATTGTGCAAGTAGGTGGAAACAGCCCTGAAAAAGGGGTCTCCCCCATTAACTTTGCTTATTCAATGTTATGTTTTTACTACAGCCTTGTAGCCAATTTAGCCAGTGGTAATAAAGGGAGGCCTTGGTGACCCATATGTTGGTTTGTTTGATGTCCCTTTTCTTTCCCACCTCCCCGCTTCACCTATATGTCTTTATTTTTTTTTCGTCTTCCCTCCTTCCTCCCACTGCCCTATATCTTACCTGCTTATTATGAGACGCTTTGATTTTGTTGCAAAAAGTATTTATGCCAATACAATATGTATGATTAATCTTCTGTACTGCTGTACTGTTCTAAATCTCAGTAAAAATTAAAATAGGATCATTGATAGAGCAAAGTTTTTAGGGGAGAAAACACCCCTGTCAGGCCTGTTTCCAACTTAGGGTTGCCACCTCATCCCTTTAAACCCAAACACATTAATTACACAGGTTCTGAGGCTAATTTAATTCAGATAAGGCACCAAGTGAGTTTAATTACCACCTTAATCAACCACATAACCTGTGTAATTAATATGTGTTTGGGTTTAACCACTTGCCTACTGGGCACTTTTACCCCCTTCCTGCCCAGGCCAATTTTCTGCTTTCAGCGCTGTTGCACTTTGAATGACAATTGTGCAGTCATGTAACATTGTACCCATTGTAAATTTTTATAATTTTTTTGAGACAGATAGAGCTTTATTTTGGTGGTATTTAATCACCACTGGGTTTATTATTTTTTGATAAACCAAAAACAACTGAAAATTATGAAAAAACAAAGTTTTTTTCTTAGTTTCTGTTATAAAATTTTGTAAATAAGTAATTTTTCTCCATCACTGATGTGCGCTATTGAGGCTGCACTGATGGGCATTGATAGGCGGCACTGATGAGGAGGCACTGGTAGATAGCACTGATGGGCATTGACAGGCATCACTGGTGGGCATTCACAGAAATCACTGATGGGCACTGAAAGGCAGTACTCATACATGGCACTGATAGGCGGCACTGATAGGCGGCACTGACTGGCACCGATAGGCGACACTGACTGGCACCGATAGGTGACACGGATGGGCACTGATAGGAGGCACTGACTGGCACTGATAGGTGGCACTGACTGGCAGCACTTATAGGCAGCAATGACTGTCACTGATAGGTGGCACTGACTGGCACTGATAGAAAGGCAGTTCTGATGGGCACTGCTATGTGGCATTGATGTGCAATGGTAGGCACTAATATGTGGCATTGATGGGCACTGACAGGTGGCATTGATGGGCAATGTCAGGTGGCACTGATGGGCAATGACAGGTGGCACTGATGGGGCTACACTGATCATCAGTGCCCTTATATCAGTGTAGATGTCCCCTCTGAGGAATGCCGATTGCTGGCTCCCCTCTCCTCACGAGCTGTCAGCGTGACAACATAAGATCCTTTGCTACATTTTCTGCACTGGATAAGGTACACAACATTACTGGAGGTGCAGCTGTATGATTCAGAAATATTGAAGATCCCTTTTGAGTGTCTGACACTTTTTGATGGATTGATTTGGTTGCACAGTTTGCAGCGTTTTTTTTTATTGCAGGGTTTGCTTCCATTATTTGTGACCTCATAATCAGAAGGAAGTTTCCTACTGATTAGTTTATTTCTGAGGTTGGGGGGTTGTCTGAAAGCCAGTATTGGGGGTTGCTGGAATATGTCTCTGGGGAGTTCCATCCTCTGTTATGATGGGTTGTAAATCTCTGATTATTGTTTTTATTCCTTCTAGTGCTGGGTTGTATGTAGTTACTAGAGGTACATGGTTGTTTGTTTTTTTTCTCTTTGTACTGATAATGGCCTTAATTTGGACATGGGATTCCTCACTCATTATCCAACAGTTTTTATTACCCACTCTGTGAGTGTTGTCCCCCCCCCCAGTCTTTGATTTTGCTCTCTTATCTCTAGTCTAATCCTAGTTTTATAACCATTGCTGTGTACATTTGTTTGTGTGTGTTTCTTTCTGGGTTTTTTTTTTTTTTTTCAACATCTCTTTTAACTAATAGAGCTACAATCACCTCAAGCAATCTTTCAGCAGGGAATCAAATCATCTATGACCGACTTAATGTTCATACAGCTTCCATAATCCATTTTGTATTATTCTGTATTCATTCTTTTTGCATCATTGCTTCTAACTTTGTACCTATTTAGTAAACTGCAAGTTACAGTTACTCCCTGTTGTATTATCCCTTTGATTACCTATTCTGTTTAAGTGGTCCACTGGTGCAAAAAAATGTATAAATGAGAAAATATATCCTAACTCTGAGTCCATAAAGGCTGCTTATATATCTGCCAAGAAGAGCAATTCTCTCATTGCATCAAAAAGGAGTATTCATCCTTTTGAGGAACCTTAGCCTTTCGACTGCTCAACAAAAAAAAAATGAAAACCTTCTGACTGTAGTGTTTGTATGTGCAATAAGTCTTTACTGGACATACTGTATATCAAAAGAAATCTAAGGCATTTCAAAGGTTTTTGCACCATATTGATCAGGGATGATCCTTTAACAAAAAAATCATTGAGGCTCAATATGTCATTAGGTTTCTTGCCCTTGTAACTAAAACCATGACTAGAAGCTAACACATCCTGCTGTGCTTCACATCTCTGTTTACTGTATTAAGCAGCCATTGGAATTTATCTAACTGTAAAATGTTAGAAAATGCCATATTTGAAATTTAAATCTCAGTCAGGATTTTTTTTTTAAGTTTAGTTTATTTTTTTGGGGGTAGTAGAATTTTGTTTTGCCTAAGTGAATGGTAATGTTTGACAAACCCCTTAATAAATATAAATAAGGTCAGTTACTTAAAATCTGTGATATGTGCAATTTTCTTCTCCTAGAACTGGCGAACCAATAAATTCACCTGACTATCCAGAGCCAAATTAATTACCAGCTACTGTGTGGGAATCACAACTGATAAATCAATGCGAGAGCTGTGCATCAATCTCTCAATGCACAGAACCCACTAAGCCCTAAAATGCAACTTTTATTCATACATAGCATTGATTTATCAGTTCCCCTGGAACTGGTTCTAGCAGATACAGCAGTTTGTTGTATAATACCTATAGAGGAATCAGAATACAGTACATATTTTACTGGCCTGACTTTGTTTCAATGGGTTACAGCAATTTTGATAGAACACTTTGTTCTTTTCAGAATTTCTTGAATAAACAATTTTTTATATTCGTATATTTTGTCTTCTTAGGAATGGTAATAAAACCCATATGCAAATTATTCAGCCATGTTTGTTATGAATTTATTAATAACATTTATCACTATTTCATAGCATCTGGCTCCAACCCAGGGTCTATATGTTCCATATTTTGTGTACCAATAAAAACAATTGCTAGCAGGTAAGTGTTTTTTGCTAATAAAGTCTCTACTACCATAAAATACTACCTGCTGGGAATGTTTTGTTTTTAGGATTTAAATCTTCTTTTAGTGCACATATCACATTCATTTGGCTTTTTATTTGTATCCTGTTTCATCATCATTCTTCGGATTGAGCACCTAAAAATGGTTCTTATTTGGAGTGTGGATTCATCTTTTTACAAAATAGAATTACCCAAGAATTTCTGATATATTTAGTGAACCCACATGCACCTGAGTTCCAAAGTCCATCTACCTGCTGCAGGTATAACACAGTTGCTGTTATATTGCCACTTTATATTGCATTATGAACAACCTTGCATCAGACCTGAGGCAAAACTGGGCATTCAAAGACAAAGATTTTTCCACTAAACCCTTGGAATGTGCAATGCCTGGTACACACAGTAGGTTTTTTAACTTCAACCCAGCTGGAGAATGAAAAGAAATGAGGAGGTCTCTGTACTAACTATGCAATGTTAGTTACAGCAATTTCCCCACTGTGCTACTGTGTCCCCCACTAGAACATAGCAAACGCTCAGAGCCATTGGCTGAGAGCGCTGATCAGATGCTGATTGGCTGCTGGCTTTCCAGAATGCTCATTCAACAGAAGCTGGTCATGAGATCAGCTTCTGTTGGACAAGGACCTGTACACATGGTCCGAATGTCGGACGATTTCTAATGTACCAGCTGATTTCAGGTGATGTTCAGGCCAGTGTGCATGGGCCTTTAGATGTCAAACAAAAAAATTCCTGTTGTGGGGTAAGAGTTGTGCCTTTAAAAAGATGCACCCTGATAGACCATACCCATCAGAGAATCAACTTCCATCCTTTGCCAGCTGCTTTCCAAGTTAAGGGCTGAATACTAAACCCATACAAGTCAAGATGGAATTACATTAAGCATGGAGCAGTGGTTATGGAAGCTGAGGACTGGCTGTCAAATAATTAAATATTCTATAATGAAACATGCTGGTTAAACAATGCAACTCAAATATCTTGTTTCAAGAAAAAGATCTGAAAATTTAGAGCTGTTTTGCCAGTGGACGAAATGAACTCATGTAACATTATGTCAGACGTTTATTCATTTATAATTAACAAAATTACTTCCAGAGTGTCACTTTTCCTGACAGCTGTATCAAGGGATCTCGTCTCAGGTGATTGAAGCTTATCTATGTATGAATTCAGATTTCCTTGTATTCTAAGATTTTAGATTGTCTTAGGGTATGTACAGATGTATGTAGTAGTACATGTATTATTAATAGTGAATTTTCATTGTGATGAATGCACAATATTACATATTTTGATGCATGTCAAGTATATTTTTACATCTCAGAGACTCTAATATTTATACATATTGATGTATAGGTTTGCAAAAATAAATCCTATATTTTCAAAAAGAGCTTTGGATGTATCTTATTCTGTTGGTATAGGCAAATTTAAAGTGTAAGTAAATCCCAAACTTTTTCTGCGGGTAGTGGAGTAATAGAACCCCTTTTAGGTTTCATTGCTGACAGTCACTGTCTCTCTGCTCACTGAAGACAGAGAACTTAGAGTTCTTAGTCTTAGAGGCAGCTGGGGACAGATGCAGCATCAGACTGATGGTGCATCCACCTAGGTGAGTATATATATATAGATTTTTTTTTTAATCTTGCACTTCTATTTTAAAATGGAAGTTTGAGCTGTTTTGGTGAATTTTCACAGGAGTTTATGTTGTGGGTTGCCACAAATATTGTGATCACTTGCACAGAAAATTGGTTTATTTTATTAATTTAAATACTTATATATACAAGCAAAACTGTGCCAATACCAGAAGGGAAATAGTTGGGGATAGCACAACGAATCTAAAATGTAACATAGTATGTAGTATGCAAAGTTGAAAATAAATATAATAATAAGATTATAATGTCAGTATTCATCATTGCAACTGAAAAGGGCATCTGCATCTCTATCCTAATAAGGACCAACAGTGTGTACTCCTTTGTGGCCTAGGTGTTTTGTGTCCTAAAGAGAAGCTGCCAAAGAGGCCAAAGAGAAGCATTGAAGGATGCCGGCTGGAAGAGTGTAACTTTGACAGGTAGGTGTGTCATATTATGCAAGAATGCTATACATACTTCCACATTATGATGACAGCCAACCTGCATACAGCAGAAATTAGTTCCATTTTAATTTTGGCAAAATTTGCAGTACATATCTATAGGTAATGGGAAGGCTGGTGAAGCTGCATTAGGGCGAATATGGATCCACCCTTGCACACCTATTACACTGGGTGTCACGGAAACACACAGCAAAAGGGTGGAGCACAATAAATAGAGATGGATTGGTGCAGGTGACAGGAGGAGGGTTAAAGGTAAGGAGAAGAAGGAGGGCGAGTAAAGGGTAACAGGAGGGGGTTTGGGTTGATGAGCATAAGGGAGTTTAGGGTAGGCAGAGGGTGGATATTTATGGAGAAGATAAGGAGAAGGGTGGATGCAGTGTGACAGATCGAGGTATGATCAGTTGACAGGAAGGAGTTGAAGATACATGGTATGAAGGTAGGCAGGTAAAAATAGGGGTGGCCATGTGAAAGGAGGAAGTTGGGTGCAGGGATAAAAGAGGGGGCATTGGAAGAAATAGAAAATGGAATAGGATGGATGCAGGCTGACGAGAGAGGGGTTCAGGGGTTAATGTAAGCAGAGGGAGGATGGGAATGAAAGTGCAATGTTTCAGAGCCACACAGGACCCCTGTGTGTCAACAGATATGTGATGATAGGATAGGCTAATATGAAGGAGATTCAGGGTGTGTGGAGGTAGGAGGGTGGCTTCTGAATGACAGGAGTATGGGTCCACAGTGAAAGGATGAGGGTTCAAGGTTAGTAGAGGGAGAAGGTTGACTGCAAGATGACAGTAGGGGGTTAAGGGTTAGCAGAGAGAGGAGTGTGGGTGCAGAGTGAGAGTAAGTTCGAATTGAATAGAAGGGGATTCAGGTTTAGCAGAAGAGAATGGTACCTGCAGGGTGAGAGGAGAGTTTTCAGGGTAAAAAGGTAGAGGTAGGTTCAGGGAGATTTATAGGGAATTCAGGGTGTACAGAGGT